AATCGCAGATGCGTTGCACGGTTCTGTCAAGCTCCTCCACACAGAAACACGAAGAGGACAGAATTAGCCACTAAATTGATGACAAAGTGGGCAAGAGATTGACAAAACATTGGTGTGACATATATGATGAAGGAAAGGCATGCTCCATCAACTAAGATGTTGGCCAATTCAATATTCTGTAATCTGTGAGTGACAGCTATGTTTGTCAACAGACTACCACGGTTATATGAGCAAATAGAGCAGAACATCGACACTTTTATGACTTTCTGCTATTCACCATGAACTATTCTCAGTCTTGAGGTGTTTGCATGGAAGGTAGGGGATATGAGGTTTGCTTAGTCCCAATTCCCACCCATCAAATAGTAGTAGTAAATTTTACCTTTTCACCTATTTTAACCCTTTTACAAAATGTAAGATAACTCTTTGGTGTATCCAGAATGTGGCTAAGTTTCAGCTCAAAATACCAATCAGATTATTTATTATAGCCTCCATAATATGGCCATTTTGGTATTGGACTACAGTGTAGCTGTTTTTTGTAGCCTGTGGCTTTAAAACCAATTGAACTGCTTTTCCCCACCCACCAATCCCACATACGCGTCTGCTTCTCCTGCATTACATCAGATAAAAAGCAGTCAGTGTTAGAGTAAGACAAGGATGAAGCTGAATTACAGCTCATTAGTAAAATACCAAATAAGTTTATTCAATGAATTTGTGGTGGAGTTTATTCAAGCCTTTCTGATACGACGAGTCACACCCAAATGCTATTTGCATAACACACACACACATATATATATGTGCATTTATGGACACCATATATATATATATATGTGTGTGTGTGTGTGTGTGTGTGTGTGTGTGTGTGTGTGTGTGTGTGTGTGTGATATTTTGCCTGTAACATCACACAAAGTCCTCTTCACTCTTCACCTCTGTGTATTACTCCGCCCACATACAGCAAGCAACAAGCAGAGGAGACGCTACAGTTTGACAAATATTACTGTTGTTAGACAACAAAATGTACTTTTGAGGCTTTTTTAGACAAGAATGTAGTTGTTTAGATTGCAACTAAGCAGTTTATTTTTAAGAATAGTGCATATTTTAAAATATTTACAATTTCTGAGAGCTCGTTGGCGGCCAAAGACAGTTGACGTTGTCTATCCACAAGATGGTGCCAGAACCGCATAATAAGCCCTTGCTCAGTGTGTTCTCGAGCATGAATAAAAGCTGAAAAACGGAAGTCTTGTGGTTTTTAAGGTGGACCGGATACGAAGCTGTGAATAAAAAGCTGGATTCAGCCTTGTCCTTCCTTATCGCAAACACAACAGCAGTCTGGTGAGAAATCTCTGTAGAAGGATGGCATTTCATGTCACGTTCAGCCTTATAATCTTAGAATGTGAGCAAAATTTGCTGTTTTGTCATCACCTTAAGAGGGTCACACACCAGATGCGCCGCTTCACAATACGCTATAGAGAATCAATCAAATACTAGCTCTAAAGTCACGTTGAAGAATTAGTAACAGCTTCTGCTGTTCTGACATCAGCTGCAGATGTGAATGAATGGCAGAAGAAAGTAGTTCCTAATACAAAAGAGTTTGATTTTCTTCGTTATGTACAAGATTGTGCCATCGAACTGTTGTATAAATGCAATATCACATGAGTAGCAGTGTGCTATGGCTGTATATCAGCACCGGTGGGGCAAACGCCTCCCACTAGTTCTGATATAAAGCCATAGCACACTGCTACTCGTGCGATATTGC